CCCCTCCCCGAGTGTGGATTGAAAAATTAACAGCAATGAAACGGGTCTGCATTGCCGGTATAGTCAGATATTAGGACAATCTGTTTAATGTAGCTCATGATGTTTTACCCTGGTGAATATGATTCACCCATATATGATTAAAATATATATATTATGTGTTACTACTTTGCAATGCAACATTTGTCCTACCATAACCCTAACCCATGGCCTGTCTTCATACAGCAAAATGATTTGAACACAGGTTTTTTTAAGAACTTGTCTGGGGGGTGGGCATCTACAAAAAGGGACCATACTATTTTGAGTGTGGAGAGATGACACATATGGTTGTTGGTGACAAAAAGTTTGGTGTAGTATCATATGTACTAGGGGGGTCTGGGGTATTCTCCCCCAGAAAATTTTTTTGTATCTTTCCACCCCTAGAACTGAAATGTGAGCATTTTCTAAAACAGATTTTTGGATATACAGCGTTACATTGTGCTTTGATAGACCAAATCTGATCAGTTAAGTGTACTTGCATGGTATGTTTATATAAATACCACAACTGGGTCACTTAGGGGGTAGGAAGCTTGTTAAACTTAATGGGCCCGACTACCACGATCACGAGGCACTACCATGCTTGGCGCCAAGCAGGGAAATTTTGAAAATTTTGAGTCTCTAGATTGTTGGAAATAGCATTTTCAGAGTCTTCTTTTTTGCTATCTGTGATTATAGAAATTATAACTCTAGACATGGTATTTAAGTTCAAAAACGTTTTTGACCCACCCTTTCTCTGCATTAAAACTTTTTTGACCCCCTATTTATAAGGGTATATTATCTCTTTAAGTGGAATTTCACCCTGCAGGTTGTTGAGGTCAATAAAATGAACAAATGAACAAATCAAAGGTGTGGCATCATCTCTCCCTGGGCATATATGCAGGCATTAAAGAAACAAATTCAAATTTAAAGTAAATAAATATTCAAAATTGTAAGATTAATGATGGTCAAATCCTATGGCTATGAGCAAAAAAAACATTGTTTAGAAACCTGAATATTCTAAATTTAAAAATAATCAATGATTATTTATTAACTTTTTTTTTGTATCGAGATATTTTTTCCTGCCATCTTCTAGCTGTATAGATTTTTTCTCCCCCACAACTTTTCTAATGGTCCATCCCTAATCAAAAGCCACTCGTGGTTGTCCCAATGGGTATAATTTGGGTTATACATACATAAAATCTGTTGTCAAATATGAGCTGATATTTCCATGTAATACATCACTGGAAGACATGTTTTCCACACTGCCTTCATTTTCTTCATCTTCCAAACTGTTCTGACCATAGTTGTCATCGTCTGCGTTAAATGTGATTTCATCCTCCGCCATTTCATCTAATTTGTCTTCACTTGTACTGGTCACAGGGCTGAGGTAAAGAGTGATCCTAGAGTATGGTTTGCCCAGCCATTCCTTGTACTTCTTCAGCACAAATTCGTCCTCAGTGCCAGGAATTTTCCTAGCAAGACTTGTGTCCGGGTAAGCAAGAACATAACCTCTTTCTGCCCGAAATCGCCTATCGAATGCTTTACGTTTTTTTAGTGCAGCGCTTAAAAGATCGTCGTAACTTGCACTGTCAGGAACTTTTAAAGGCAAGGATCCGCCTCTACATGGCTTCAACTCACTTAGGGCATACTCCATCAAGCCAATGTTCAACGTTACTTCGTGTAGTACGTGTACACTCTGTTTCGAACGCTTCTTAGGTTTAAAATGGGACTGCCTTTCTTCCGACTTTGTTTTTGCGAACTGGGCAAACGTCTGCAATGTTTGTTGCTTTAATACACTACCAGTACCATGTCCGTGAGAAGTTGACTGGGAACTTCCTTCGCTTGCTTCGACGCTTCTCTCCCGTTTTTTTTTGAGAATTTTCTACCTTTGTACCGCACGACGAACAGTAGTTGAATGCCTCCTCTACTTTCGCACCACAAGAGACACAATACATAATTTAAATTTACAATTTTTAAGCCCGTCGATTCGGTTCGAAATAGGCAAATAGACGAAATCAGGGCCCGAAATACAGCTGTATTATTAAAATAAGCGCGGGAAAACATCACTGGACTATTTACAAAACAGAAAAAAATATCGCGGGAAAAATATCGGTTAATTCGAAAAAAATATCGGTGAATCGAAAAAAATATCGGTAAATTGAAAAAAATATCGGTGCACTGAGAAAACATTGTTGTGCACTGAGAAAATATTGTTGTGCACTGAGAAAATATTGTTGTGCACTGAGAAAATATTGTTGTGCACTGAGAAAATATTGTTGTGCACTGAGAAAATATTGTTGTGCACTGAGAAAATATTGTTGTGCACTGAGAAAATATTGTTGTGCACTGAGAAAATATTGTTGTGCACTACGAAACTTTGAAGCGCATGTTGAAATACTGTTGTGCATTGCTTATATGGGCCACCGTAGATATGAGCTCGTAGGCTAATAGGCTATATTTTAAAGTGGCACTATCATTAATTTTTTTTTTCATAATCCAGAAATATAACATATGCTTGATATTCTTACCAAATTTCAAGGCAAAATTCGTTCATCTTCCTGATTTTTTTACGATTCTTATTTGCCAATTTTACGGCCGCCATTAAACGCACCCAATTAAGCGAGAACTCAGAGAAGGCGTTTTGAAGAGGATGCGACGTCAGTCAACACGCCGAATGTTTTTATTGTATTTCACTACTATTTCAACAATGTCTTCGTACAAAGGAGAGTCAGAAACTTCAGAAAGTGGACACTCGCATGGGAACAAAGCGAGCTGTGATGAAGAAACGTACGGTGACTCACATTCAAGTGAAAATAGTGTTGAGAAGAAGAAATCAAGCCTAGAAAAGTTAATATTTGTTGACAATATATGGCTATCTTGTTTGTTGTTGAAAAATGACCTTTGCCCTTTGGCACAAAAAGGATAATTTTCATCACTCGTTCAAAGTTTGCCTTTAGCATCACTTTATACTTCTTTAACATACATCACAGCAACTTGATAGTTTCTCACGTACACAAAACATAAGCAGCGATGGAAGGAAAACCTTTACTTTAGCGTACTGCGTATCATAATAAACTTTTCGGTCAATCAAAATACGAACAAAAATACAAACAAATGCCTTGTAATTTATAACTATAAATAATATTTCAATGCATGTGTGTCTCATAACTGTCTATCTTCTATCGGTCTATTTCTGTATTTTTAACGACTGTAAATTAATAAACTGACATGCACTAGCTCAGGGAATTTTAAGCCTGGTTCACACAGGGCGCTGTGAAACACGGGCGGTGAAACCACAGAATAAAGACATAGAGAAGTGTAGCTTCCATTACAAAACCGTAAGGCCTTTTTTACCGAAATAGCTGGCGGCCAATGCCGGCCATGTTCTTAGCAAGTGCCCTAAAGAGAGGCATTCACCCCCCTGGAATATTAAATTTTCAATATGTTTTCAGG